ATAAGAGCAACCAATTGCACTACTAAGAGTATATCAAAAAGCAAAAACTTTCACTATCTAGCATGTACTCAATCATCCATATATACAAGGGGAGAATGGAGATGATGTGGCTCATAGAATCAAAGCACGATAGGTAAAATGGAGGGTTTTGTTAAGCATATATATAGTGTGATCATCATATTTTGCTAGAATTGAAAGCTAAGTTTATAGAACATCTGTTAGACCAGCCATGCTATATGGGACTGAATACTAGACGGTTAGAAAACAGACATATTCATAGTTTCTGTAGGTACATATTAGCCAACTGTTACAACCAGCACAGTGATATGGACACCTCTATGTCTGTTTCTCTAACGGCATATTATAGCCATTATTAGACACAAATTGTTAAGAGATCAGATTAAAATATTTGTCACCTTTTGAATCCTTCAAAATTGGAGATGTTTGTTGCTGAATAATCTTTGCTATCCTTCAAAAACCTGGTTATTGGCAAGACCATAGAAACTCCATGACAGGATATATTAATATTTAAACAGTTAAAATATCGGAATGTATTTATTTGCATTCAATTATGCATCTAAATTTGGTATGACGTGCATCGATATTGTCGATAATGCATCAGTAACGTGTTTACATTTATAAGATATTCCAATATAAATGGGCAAGATATTTACATAAGAATGGCTTCATCAGAACTAGGTATGGAATCATCTTGCTGTTTAAAACAAAGTTTGAAAGAAAAATAAAAGCCACCAAGGAAAAAAGAAGAAAGAAATCTTCCAGCAGTGACATGATTAGAAACAAGATAGAGCCAGAAAACTTTTGACATTATTAGAAATAATATTTCTTTTGAATTGTCTCAGAAACTAGCATATATTGTTCATTGGATTATAAAAAGTAAAGGTTTTTATTTTTTATTTTCTTGAATTTCTGACTCCTCAATCTTCTGCTTTCAAATACTTCATTCCTAGATCAAGGACACAATACAAAGATCAAAATTACCAGTACTGTGTTGTCTACTGGACCACCAATTTTATTAAACTTAAAAATAACACCTGCATAATCTTTGCTATCCTTCAAAATTGAAGGGTCATTGCCTCAACCTCAAAAACCTGGTTATTGGCAAGACCATAGAAACTCCATGATAGGATAGCTTCATCATTTCCTTCCACTGAAGACAGACACCAAGTCAGCAAATTTTGTGTTGTTTTCTTCTGCGCCATGCCGTCAATGGAAAGAGAGAAGAGAATAAGGCGGAGTTGGCAGAGGGAGGAATTGTCGTAGTTGTCGTGTGTGAGGTGAACATGTGGTTTGGGAGAAGAGATAGCGGGAAACAGATGAATGGAAATAGATGAATTAAGAGTCTCATGATCTCTTCTTCTATGGACCTGACTTGTGCTTGCTTCGGCTTCCCAATCTCAATCTCAAGCTCAAATTTGCAGCTAAACTTCTTCAATTTCGGGTTTCAGACTTTCAGTCAATCGCAGTGTTCGGAAAATCGGCCTAGGCGGGCGCCTAGGTGGCTAGGCGGGCGCTAGGCGGCTAGGCGGGAGCTAGGCGGCTGGGCGGGAGCTAGGCGGCTGGGCGGGCCTCCTAGGCGGGTTGGGTCTTTTTTGGTGTCAAACCAGGACGACGAAGCAGTCGAAACTGAAAATCGAAGCGAAATGACTGTGACTGGGTCTGCAACCTCCGCCCTCTGCGAGTGCAAGCTTCGTGTTCGTTTGGATTATATTCAAAGAGTATAGCCGCGCGGCTATAATTTTAAAATATTTGAATATTTTAAAGAGTATAGCCAAACGGCTATACTTTTAAAATATCCGAATATTTTAGAAAGTACAGCCGTGCGGCTATAACATTTTAAATATACAATTTTGTCATATCATTTTAGGGTTTAGGGTGGGCTAGAGTTATTTCTTCAATTATTTTATTTATACAAGCGATATTGGGGAATGAGAATTTAAATTCTTTATGATACCTCCCATTATAATGATTTCCAGCTATTAGCCCTTTGGGCAAGAATAAAAAATGAATTTTATTTCTAACAAATAATACAAGTTAAACTCATAAATACCAAGAATAATAATAATAATAATAATAATAATAATAAAAGGTATCCGCCAACATTTTGTGGATCAAAGAATTTTGAATTTCATAGTATAAAATTGCTTGTATATCAATTTACTTTCTAAAATGTATCCGTTGTAATTATGAACTAAACCCAATTGCAACATTTTTTTCTCATTGCACTTGACGACCATGCTCTTCTGCTATCAGATATGTCAGTTGAAAAATTGGATATAAAACAATCTAACGAGACAGCGAAGGGAAGTTTGCAGCTCTATTTTGAAATTAATTGAAGGTATCAGAGGTCATATGACATTGATATATGAACTATTCTAAATGAGAATTCAAACAACATGTGTTAGATGAGAAGTAGCATCTCATTCTTAAATATAACATATTATTTCATTTTTTTACTGGTTGTGCCTGTTGTTAAGCTGGTGCAACCAACATTCTTTCACCACGAAATTTTTCCTAAACCTCAAAGAAATTTAGCTAGGAAAACCTTTGGTGGGAAGGGAAAGTTAAGATAGAAATAGAGGCAGAGGCAAGGCTGAAGAACAATCGCGCGCGAACACATGTGATATTACAAAAAATGTTGCGAAGGAATTTAGAATGGCCATTTTCCAAATTAAGCATACATCTTATTATGAAATCAAGATAGGAACTTATAACAAGCCCTCATTAGAGTAACATTGTCCAAAAACACACGATGAACACCACACTCAACACACATAATTGCTCATTAGTGTTGTAAATATAAAAAAGATGAGATATCGCTTAGTACAATCAAATTAATAATTCTTCATTCCTCGTCGCCCAAATCATTGAACGCATTGCGCAAATCATTGAGCATTTCATCCCATGTCTCCTCCACATGCAGATGAAATGAGTATCCATCAACATGAAGAACAAAATTGTCCATACCACAAAGACATTCAGGAAATTCATAACCCTCGCACATAAATTGACTAATATGAGACGCAATCTTTGATATTTCATCGTCGTTCTCATCGAAACCAGAACAATCTCTGGCATCCAACATCACCAAATCTTTGCATCCACGCATCAACGTGACAAGACCATCCCGATTGACTTTTGCACCCTTCAAATTTAAGTACTTGATATTAGGCATCTGATTCTTACATATGAGATATATTAGTCCGCGTTGTATTCTATGCAGAAATATAAAGTTACCCATAAGTTGAAGCACTTAGGATCTTGTAGTGAAGGCATCATCGCTTCCACACCGAGAAGTCTCTCAAGTCCTCTTCGATCTGTAAAGAGATACTATCATACATCAAAAGCTCAGCTCGGTCATCGAGAGGCATTTTACCTCACAAATAGAAATCCCCCAAGTCCCCAGACGAGAGTTTTGTGTGGGGAGTTGCATCTCTTGGACAACTCCTTCCTAGGACCTTGGTTCCCTTTATCCCCACTTACATTTTGTGAATTTGGTATGCTAGCTGCATGCCAAAACTTGTATATGTTGCTTGTGTTTGTTATACCAAATACCAATTGGATCATGTTTGTGAAGAAAAAAAAAGGGCATATCAATGTGCACCTAAACTGAGGCAAAAATCCAATATAATTGTATACAATTCCATGTGCTTGCCAATCTGAAACTTGACCCATGCATATGCAATGTCTTTGGGTTTCAAAAATAGAAATCCATGAGATTTTGAAGGTGAATATGAATCTGCCAATACTTCATCAACCAACTCCAAACCCCTTCCTTCATTCCATAAGTGCCATGCCTAACAAAATTTCATGTATGTTGGCCAGTATTGTTAAACTCTGCTGCATTTAGCTTCATATAGTTGCTTAAGCTGTATGAAAGATACGATTTTGCATTAAGATTTAGAGTGTGAGCTTACATAAGCTAGGAAGCCTATATGTTGGTCACTGGAATAGAAGTTGGTATTCTTTTTGCCACTAATAATCTCCAATTGCAAGAACCCGAAGCTGTAGCCATCAGATTTTTCAGAAAACATACCGCCCATGGCATACTCCGGAGACATATAGCCACTGCACAATCAATTGAGAACTGATGAAACTACTTCTTTGTTTATAGTCTTGAGAAAAATTATACCAGAAAAGTTAAATCTAAACGCCATGCAATGCAACTAATTTTTAGTTAATTATGAACACAAACAGAAGGGAATTGGAGTCGGTTAAAATTGCAGGGTTGTAAATTGAAGTGCTGGTACACCTCGATTTACCAACATGTTAATCCCAATGTTCGAAAAATCACTATACAGTAAGGGGGCGGCAGGCAAGGGCCTAGCGCCTAGAGGAGTAATGGGGGTCTATGCGAGTGCCTATGCTTTTTTTAATAAATTATTTAGTATTATAAATTATAAATTTATACCAAAATCATGAAAAATAAAAGGATATATAAATTATATATTAAACAAATAGTATAATATTTCTTTGATTTAAAATATTAAAATATTTATTTGTTATTTGTTACTTATTAGTGGTTACTTTAGTGATTTCATAATGCAAAATCCATTTAATGTTGTATTTTATGAAGCCCAGGCCTTTCTCTCCCGCCAGGCCCCTTTCTAAACCCTAAACGTAACTCGCAACCTCTCTTCTTCTTCAACCCTCATTTCTCTCTCTCTCTCTCTCTCTCTCTCTCTCTCTCTCTCTCTCGCCTCAGCACCATCGTCATCTCGTGGAGTTCCAAAATGGCCCTTTTTTTTTCTTCTAGGCACCAGCACCCGCCTAGACCGCCTAGCCCGCCTAGCCCTCGCCTAGCCCCCGCCTAGCCCGCCTAGCCCTCGTCTAGCCCCCGCCTACCCCGCCTAGCCCTCGTCTAGCCCCCGCCTAGCCTGCCTAGCGCTCGCCTAGACCCCGCCTAGCAATTTATTCAACTCCATTAAATGATTTTTTAAGGTTTATGGCTGTGCTGCACTGAGTGATTCAACTGAATAATGCCTGGGGCATGGTCAGATAGTCCATTTCCTCTGTCGATTGTAATGACGGTATACACAACTCTTGGGGCAGTAGCCCTGCCTCCTCTACTAACAAAGATATTGGCAGGGACTTACATCCCTGTGGATGCTACCAAACTGTCAATCAGCACCATGCAGGATAAGTTAAATATAATAAACTTCAGTAATATTATATTATCCATCAGATGGGGCTTATGGTCTCTATTCTGTCATCTGTAGGTCGTTGTTCCTCCAATTTGTTAGGTTCTTATATACAGTGTGCATTTCCTGCAGTGGTTAAAATTGTGATACCTTTTGCACCACTTTTTGCTGTTCTAGCTGCATCACTGCTTGCATGCTGGTACATTTGTTGTGCATATAAATATCTTTTAATTACTTATATGTAAAATATGATTGTCTTGCCTGTGATTCCTTCCAAATGTGCTCTCTTTCTCAAACATACTAGATTTCATTTTGTGGGCCAGTGTATTCTCTGAGAATGTTGTCCGTCTCAAAGCTTCAATGGTTGCTGTAACATTGCAGGCTGATTTGTCTCTAATGGCTCATGCTCAGACAGTGTTATCTGGAGAAATTGGGGTGGTTATTCTTTCTGTGTTGTTAGTACATATTGCTGGTTTCTTTGCGGGGTAAGTTGCCTTTAACTGTTGGTGACTTTAATTGTTAAGTGTGTTGTTGTGGAAACAGCTCAAGGTAATGTACACAATTTTTTTCAGTATGTAAAGATTCACTCTAATTTAAGCTCAAAAATTCTAAAAAAAATTACATTGTAGCCTTGTATTAGTGTATTATTACTGTTTGATTTAGCTTCAATTGAGTTTGATATATAAATTATAGAGTGAAGTTAACTATACTTTGAAAAAACAAAGTATTCATAATTTGTAAGCAACAGTTGAGAAACTATAGTTTGCTGTCATTATGACTTCATAGCCATAAAAGCTATTGCAGTAAGAAAGTATGTATTCAATCTTCTTTGTCTATTTGGATTTTAATTTGACATATGAAGATAGAAACTAGTTTTGTAGACGAGCATTGTTGGCAGAGTTTGCACTCATACAAATATTCTTTAAGGTTGTGGTGCTGTGCCTGTTTGTTTAGTTTGTTTTGGAGTTTTTGCAGTGCAAATGTGCAACTTGAGGAGTCTTTTTTTTATCAGGGAGAGTCTTAATTTGCACGTATATATCAGAAGTTGTTTGCGGGTTTAGAGAAGCACAAAGACGAGCAATATCAATTGAGGTATTAATCAAATAGAATGTAAACTTTAAGACATGATCTAGCTTTCTGTGAATCCTTGTGTTCCAGTTTTGTTTCGGCTTTGGTCAAATTGGTAATAAAGATATAAAAATTCTCTTCTTAAACTTTATTGTAAGTCCATAGAAGATCTTCATTGTTTTATGCTCAGATTGAAATGTCGAAACTTTCATAAATTTTGGTGGGCATGCAACACTAATCCTTCATTCACATGTTCGACACTCGAAGGTTGGTATGCAAAATTCTTCTTTGGGTGTGGTTTTGGCCACTTCTCATTTCACCTCGCTGATGGTTGCATTACCCGCAGCATTATTTGCTGTGATTATGAATATAAATGGGAAGCAGTCTGGCATTCTTTTGGAGATATGTAGATCCTTCTGACTCCAAGGAGACTCCTACAATTGAGGTTAAGTGACAACTATAACACCCTTTCGAAGTTTTCCCTAACCCGGCAATATCTGTTGTGAGTATGAATAGAATGGGCAACAGCAGTCTTGGTGTCCTTGGAGATATGTATCCTTTGGGCTCCATTAAGTCTCCTACAGTTGATATTCTTTAAACTTTGTGTATGTTACACATAAGTTTAAATGATCAAGTAAAAGAAACGAGTATGAGTTCAAAATTGTGGCATGCCTACAAAACGAGAATCAGTTCCTTGGGCCTAGGTGAGTCCTCTTTTTCTAAAAAATATTAAATAATATATCTGCGCGGCTATACCTTTAAATATAAAATATTTAAAGAGTATAGCTAGCTGGCTGGCTATACTGGGGCCCCTTATTTATTTATTTATTAATAAATAATATAGCCGATTGGCTACACTCTTTAAATATGTATGTATATATATATATATATGTATTGGGTGCCTTTTTTTTTATATATATAATTTTTTTCCCTTTTTTTCGTTTATCAACAAGATTAGTTTAGAACATTATCCATTTCTATTAGGCCATTACTCGAGTCTCTATTGTCCCCTTTTCATTTTTTACTTTTCCAGAGTTATTACTTGTATAAAGAATTTAGCATTTTCCCGTTTAATACTGGTATTATACACGTATTTTTCAATAATACTTCCCTTTTTTGTACACATCTTAAAGATTCGGTAAAATACACGTTTTTTTTAACAAGCAAACATACAATACATATATTGTACACGTACCTACGTATTCTTGAAGTTCAATACACGTGTATTATACAAAATTTTCAATAATACGCCCAAAATTCACGTATTGTACACATAATTTTCAAATATTGTTGAATATAAATAATATATATTTCAATATTTCAATAAATTATATTAAAAATATTGTATAGTGGCCGAACTTTTCAGTTCTAACTTGGCCAAATTTTGTCGAATAAAACATGTACGCCTAATAGTAATGGATAATCCTCTAAACTACTATGATCATGTTGTGCAATGGTGCTTTTCATGCTATTAGTTCTTACTGCGGATTTTTTGTAAATAGTATAGCCACACGGAGTATAACCGTGCTGCTGCTATGGCGGCTAAAAAATAAATTAAAAAAATTGGCCGCCAAGGTGCTTTGAGCTGGGTCCTTTTTTTAATTTAATTTAATTTAATAAATAGTACAGCAACACGGCTATACTAGGGGTCTTTTTTTTTCTTCATTTTTTAAAAATAAATAGTATGGCCGCGCGGCTATATGGTTAAATGTAATATCTTTAAAGAGTATTGCCGCTCGGTTATATTGGTGTCCCTTTTTTTTAATAAATTTTTTTCCCTTATTTTCGTTTAGAGTATTATCCATTACTATTAGGTCATTACTCGAGTCTCTATGGTCCCTTTTTGATTTTTTACATTTTTCGAGTTATTACCCGTATAAAGAAGTTTGAGAGCTAAACCCTAAATTTACTAAGAATGGAGCGTTTTCCCATTTAATACTTGTCTTATACACGTATGTATGTGTCTTTCAATAAAGACTCGGTAAAATACACATGTAGCACTCGAGAGAATGGGGTAGATCCAAGGCAGATGTTCGCACGAAAAAAAAGAAAAATAAAAAAGAAGAAGAAATAATTGAACTCTCATATTGATTTACAGTGAAATTTCCATTTTTTCAATATCTACTTTGGATATATTGAAACTAGCAAATTAATAACTATAAAGTATAAACTAATGGAAGTAGGCCACGGAATTTTAAAATTTCTAGGGCACCCTTCTTTGCAAACTCACCAACTAGAAAGCTTATGTTTTGCTTCCAGCATAACCTCTCTCTGTTAACTCTCTTTCCCGAGCAGAAGGGTACTTGCAATACAATTATATTGGGAATTCAAATCATGTCATTCTCTTATGAGAAATTCATCCTATTTATCTGTCCTTGAAACTTTAGTAATTTGCCTCCCCACTATTCAACTTTAGTATTGATAGCTTACTAATTGTCTTCGCAGCTACTCAACTTAAACTATATACTGTAGGGTTTCTACTTTCTAATCAAGTTTCCAATGCTGCTAATTAATTGTGAGATTTTTTAAGGTGAGAGACAGTTACAGAAAACTTTATCAAATTAATACAATTATCTTCTAATTAGAGTCAAACTCTCCATATACAGTGCAGACTAAAAGAAACACACCCCTCACTGATTCATCAGGTGTACTCAAGGTGAGCAGCCCTGGAATTCTTGTCTTTGTTGACCATAAGAACACTATCAATCTATTGGTAGTCTTTAATGAAAATGTCTTGTTCCTGTTAGTTGGAAAGAGTCAATTTCCCCTCTCATTCTCTCTGAGTTTCTAATTTTTTTTGTTTGGCTTGGTTCCTGGCATTACATGGTAGTCTTTAACCCACCAATGAATTCTCCAGGTGTGGCTGCATCAAGGATGAAGCCTCCCCTAAAGAAAGAAACATCAATGAAGCTTTTGAGAGCACTTAATTAACTTGTTATATGTAAATATGTAAAACAGCAGCCATGACAAAACAGGGCATTCAGAACATCAACATAGGATGCAAAAGCGATCCCACTAGAAGATTTAAGTTAACCAAACAAAAAACCACACATATTCTCAAGCAACATTTTCTGATCAACTTCTAATACCAAACAATATATTAACTCTAATTCAAATCACAACATGAGTTGTTGAAATCATGATAGAATACACATATGTAACATCTTAAAAGGAGAAGTTACCCACTTCCAAGGAGCATCTCGAGCAGGAAGATTCGAAGGCTTTAGACTGAGACTAGGCAAAATATTCACGAGATCTCTTTCTTCACTATCTGCATGATTATGTTCAACAAGACAAGTGTTACCACACAAAGGAAGGAAGGCAGGTTCAATAAATGACAAGGCAACAAAATTACCAACCAGTCACAACTGCGCTACAATTTCAATGTTGCGAAGATATATACTCTTAACTTAGGAAGGAATTGGACACCCAAAAAATAACACCTAAATATATTACCAATTTTATTAAACTTAAAAGAAGACTTAAAGTATAACCAATTCTGCAGTTCCAAAATAAATAAAATAATAATTTGTAAGTCATATCCCTTGCCTGGACTGGAAATAGGTAATGAGTGCCTCATTGTTGGAACTGTGCGTGGCTCCTTTACTGTTTTGGACTCCATCTTCTTATAAGAAGTTTCACCAATTAACTAAGACATCCGTTAATTGCTTCTCCCCAATATGCTCATTTCCAGAAGCTACGGAAGTCTTTGTTTCTCCTATAACTGAGATAAGAAATCATAAGCATTGCACATATAGCATCCATTTACCATAGGAATAAAATGCTATCTTCACACTTTTAATAACACATCCAAAATACTATGAACAAAAAATGCTGAGTAGATACAACAAGTCTGTCTCAACACTTTTACTAACCAAATTCTATTGCATGAACTCTATAATAAGAGCAATTTATAATTTTTCTTCTTATAAGAAACACAAATTTAAGTTACAAACTTTCATTAAAACAAAGAAAGAGAATCATGATGCAGAAGACACTGTTGATAACAATAGTTAAGATTATTTGTACCATTCCTTATACTCAGTTCTGATTATTTGACTTCAGTAGCGGGCAAAGTTGCATCTACTAGATGGCCACTGGAACCATATTTCTTTGAATTCTGCTAACCAAGAGGAGCCTTTGGTTCTGACGAAGACATAAGAGCAACCAATTGCACTACTAAGAGTATATCAAAAAGCAAAAACTTTCACTATCTAGCATGTACTCAATCATCCATATATACAAGGGGAGAATGGAGATGATGTGGCTCATAGAATCAAAGCACGATAGGTAAAATGGAGGTTTTTGTTAAGCATATATATAGTGTGATCATCATATTTTGCTAGAATTGAAAGCTAAGTTTATAGAACATCTGTTAGACCAGCCATGCTATATGGGACTGAATACTAGACGGTTAGAAAACAGACATATTCATAGTTCCTGTAGGTACATATTAGCCAACTGTTACAACCAGCACAGTGATATGGACACCTCTATGTCTGTTTCTCTAACGGCATATTATAGCCATTATTAGACACAAATTGTTAAGAGATCAGATTAAAATATTTGTCACCTTTTGAATCCTTCAAAATTGGAGATGTTTGTTGCTGAATAATCTTTGCTATCCTTCAAAAACCTGGTTATTGGCAAGACCATAGAAACTCCATGATAGGATAGCTTCATCATTTCCTTCCACTGAAGACAGACACCAAGTCAGCAAATTTTGTGTTGTTTTCTTCTGCGCCATGCCGTCAATGGAAAGAGAGAAGAGAATAAGGCGGAGTTGGCAGAGGGAGGAATTGTCGTAGTTGTCGCGGTGTGGTGAGGTGAAAATGTGGTTTGGGAGAGAGCCTAGAGAGAAGAGAATAAGGCGGGAAACAGGGAGAGGAATGGAAATAGATGAATTAAGAGTCTCATGATCTCTTCTTCTATGGACCTGACTTGTGCTTGCTTCGGCTTCCCAATCTCAATCTCAAGCTCAAATTTGCAGCTAAACTTCTTCAATTTCGGGTTTCAGACTTTCAGTCAATCGCAGTGTTCGGAAAATCGGCCTAGGCGGGCGCCTAGGTGGCTAGGCGGGCGCTAGGCGGCTAGGCGGGAGCTAGGCGGCTGGGCGGGAGCTAGGCGGCTGGGCGGGCCTCCTAGGCGGGTTGGGTCTTTTTTTGGTGTCGAACCAGGAGGACGAAGCAGTCGAAACTGAAAATCGAAGCGAAATGGCTGTGACTGGGTCTGCAACCTCCGCCCTCTGCGAGTGCAAGCTTCGTGTTCGTTTGGATTATATTGAAAGAGTATAGCCGCGCGGCTATAATCTTAAAATATTCGAATATATTAATATTTAAACAGTTAAAATATCGGAATGTATTTATTTGCATTCAATTATGCATCTAAATTTGGTATGACGTGCATCGATATTGTCGATAATGCATCAGTAACGTGTTTACATTTATAAGATATTCCAATATAAATGGGCAAGATATTTACATAAGAATGGCTTCATCAGAACTAGGTATGGAATCATCTTGCTGTTTAAAACAAAGTTTGAAAGAAAAATAAAAGCCACCAAGGAAAAAAGAAGAAAGAAATCTTCCAGCAGTGACATGATTAGAAACAAGATAGAGCCAGAAAACTTTTGACATTATTAGAAAAAATATTTCTTTAGAATTGTCTCAGAAACTAGCATATATTGTTCATTGGATTATAAAAAGTAAAGGTTTTTATTTTTTATTTTCTTGAATTTCTGACTCCTCAATCTTCTGCTTTCAAATACTTCATTCCTAGATCAAGGACACAATACAAAGATCAAAATTACCAGTACTGTGTTGTCTACTGGACCACCAATTTTATTAAACTTAAAAATAACACCTGCATAATCTTTGCTATCCTTCAAAATTGAAGGGTCATTGCCTCAACCTCAAAAACCTGGTTATTGGCAAGACCATAGAAACTCCATGATAGGATAGCTTCATCATTTCCTTCCACTGAAGACAGACACCAAGTCAGCAAATTTTGTGTTGTTTTCTTCTGCGCCATGCCGTCAATGCGAAGAGAGAAGAGAATAAGGCGGAGTTGGTAGAGGGAGGAATTGTCGTAGTTGTGTGTGGGACATGTCGTTTGGAGAGATAGCCAAACAGGGAGATGAATGGAAATAGATGAATTAAGAGTCTCATGATCTCTTCTTCTATGCACCTGACTTGTGCTTGCTTCGGCTTCCCAATCTCAATCTCAAGCTCAAATTTGCAGCTAAACTTCTTCAATTTCGGGTTTCAGACTTTCAGTCAATCGCAGTGTTCGGAAAATCGGCCTAGGCGAGCGGCTAGGCGGCTAGGCGGGTGCTAGGCGGCTGGGCGGGCCTCCTAGGCGGGTTGGGTCTTTTTTCGGTGTTGAACCTGAAGGACGAAGCAGTCGAAACTGAAAATCGAAGCTTGAGTTGATAGAGAAGCGAAATGGATGTGCCTGTGACTGGGTCTGCAACCTCCGTCCTCTGCGAGTGCAACCTTCGTGTTCGTTTGGAAATATTCCAGTATATTAGTATTTTAAGAGTATAGCCGGACGGCTATACTTTTAAAATATCCGAATGTATTTAGAAAGTACAGCCGTACGGCTATAAATTTTTAAATATACAATTTTGTCATATCATTTTAGGGTTTAGGGTGGACTAGATTTATTTCTTCAATTATTTTATTTATACAAGCGATATTGGGGAATGAGAATTTAAATTCTTACTGATACCTCCCATTCTAATGATTTCCAGCTATTAGCCTATTGGGCAAGATTAAAAAATGAATTTTATTTCTAACAAATAATACAGGTTAAACCCATAAATACCAAAAATAACAATAATAATAATAATAATAATAATAATAATAATAAAAGGTACCGCCAACATTTTGTGGATCAAAGAATTTTGAATTTCATAGTATAAAATTGCTTGTATAGCAATTTACTTTCTAAAATGTATCTGTTGTAATTATGAACTAAACCCAATTACAACCTTTTTTCTCATTGCACTTGACGACCATGCTCTTCTGCTATGAGATATGTCAGTTCGTGCTGTATTCTATGTAGATGAAAAATTGGATATAAAACAATCTAACGAGACAACGAAGGGAAGTTTGCAACTTTATTTTGAAATTAATTGAAGGTATCATAGGTCATATGACATTGATATATGAACTATTCTAAATTAGAATTCAAACAACATGTGTTATATGAGAAGTAGCATCTCATTCTTAAATATAACATATTATTTCATTTTTCTACTGGTTGTGCATGTTGTTAAGCTTGTGCAACCAACATTCTTTCACCAAGAAATTTTGCTAGGAAAACCTTTGGTGGAAAGGGAAAGTTAAGATAGAAATAGAGGCAGAGGCAAGGCTGAAGAACAATCACAAGCACATGTGATATTACAGAAAATGTAGCGAAGGAATTTAGAATGGCCATTTTCCAAATTAAGCATACATCTTATTATGAAATCAAGATAGGAACTTATAACAAGCGCTCATTATAGTAACATTGTCCAAAAACACACGATGAACACCACACACAACACACATAATTGCTCATTAGTGTTGTAAATATAAAAAAGATGAGATATCGCTTACTACAATCAAATAGTTCTTCATTCCTCGTCGCCCAAATCATTGAACGCATCGCGCAAATCATTGAGCATTTCATCCCACGTCTCCTCCACATGTAGATGAAATGAGTATCCATCAACAGGAAGAACAAAATTGTCCATACCACAAAGAAATTCAGGAAATTCAGAACCCTCGCACATAAATTTACTAATATGAGACGCAAGCTTTGATATTTCATCGTCATTCTCATCGAAATCAGAACAATCTCTGGCGTCCAACATCACCAGATCTTTGCATCTGCGCAGCAACATGACAAGACCATCCCGATTGACTTTTGCACCCTTCAAATTTAAGTACTTGATATTAGGCATCTCATTGTTTACTGTTGAAAATATGTTTGATCCAGCAGTTGAGGTTGGTGGTGGATTCTTCTGATAATGCGAGATTTTCTTCATTCCCTTGGTGGTTATATTATGTTATATAATTTGTTTATGTTGAAAAATAACCGTTGTGGTATGTCCTTGTTTCGTTTTTTATAAATAAAAATAAAAGGTAATGATTATTTGTTTATGTTTTTCAATTAAATAATGAAAAGGAAGAGGGAGATGTGAAACAAAAATGAACAAAAGAGATGCAGGAAAATTAGAAAAGATAAAAGGTCCTTTTGTCTTACATGTTTTTATTAAACAGTATAGCCGTGCGGCTATACCCATTAATTATAATGTATATAGCCAGTCGGCTATACTTATTTTGACACATGGGCGTTAATCGCAAGGCGGGTCCTTTTTAATAGACTTGGTCTTATTAATGTTTCTTAAAAACGGTATAGCCGTGCGGCTATATTTATTTTAAACAACTTCTGAGTATAGTCTTGCTGACATACTCCATTTTTTATTTATAAAGAGTAGAGCCGCACGGCTATACGTGGTTTTATTTTTAATTAATATTTCTTTGGAAAGGTATCGCCGAGCGGCTATATTTATATATTTATTTTATAATTCGTATAGCCAGGCGGCCATACTCGGGTTTTTGAGCAGCTATACTCGGTTCTGATCATGTTTCTTTAAGAATAGTATAGGCGGGCGACTATACTTCTGTCCTGTTTACGATGCTCCAAAAACGTCAGCATGCACTCCTCGACTATACTATCATAAGAAAAAATATTGAACTAGAGAAGAAGTTCCCGATGATTATCTTGCGGCTTTAAACTTGAAACAACCCAAAGTTTATTTTGATTTGCCTCCACAGTCAAAACAGACAGCTTATCTGTTTTGAGCACAAGAAGAAGAAGAGAAGGGAAGTCAAACCCAAACACTGTCTGCTGCTGTCAATATTGATCGCCAATCATTATTCGTCATCTTCAGCTCAATTAAGCCTGTCTTTTACATCCCCATCACAAATATGAATAATATAGTCATCTTTCATTCGCATTGGTCTCTTCTGTGTATCTTTGTTCTTCTCTTTCCACACTGTATCAAAACCCAAGTAAAAGAAAGCCTGAGTCTCCAGAGCATAATCAAGTACAACATGGAAGCAGAAGCAGATGTTATGATTGTGGGAGCTGGAATTTCTGGCCTTGCAACATCCTTAGGACTTCACAGGTTCTCTTTCTCTCTCTCATGGTTCATATATTACTATGGTTGGAAGCAAAATTGAAATTTCTGGGTGCAGGCTGGGGATTGGAAGCTTCGTGTTGGAATCATCTGATAGTTTGAGGACAACAGGGTTTGCATTCGCAAGATGGATAAATGCATGGAAGGCCTTAAATGCCCTTGGTCTTGCCAATTCTCTTCGCCAACATCATGTCACACTTGATGGGTATTTTCTTTCCATGCACCACTCTCTGTTGCCCCTTCAACTATCCTAACATGTTATATTCTCAGACTGCCAATCTCGACCATTAGTTACGCAAATACAATCTCGACCGTTAGTTATGCAAATACAATCCTAACATGTTTGTTGGTACTTACTAAGTTCTACTTTTGCACGCACGAAACTGATTGCAGAGATTTGAATGTACAGGAATGTGACTTCCTCAAGAATTACAGGGCTTCAAACGTTTGAGATGTCATTTAAGGCCAAAGGAAAACAGTAAGTTTATCAATAGTATAAGTGCTACAAGTATTTCTTACTGATGCTTAATATTGGATTTCAATTGTTTGCTAGATTCTATCACTTTGCTTCTATTTCATTGATTTTGTTAGTATCAATATTCAAGCATGCTCAAATGATTGAGAGAGTCTAAATGATGTGCAGCGGAGACCATGGAGTTCGATGCGTGAAAAGGAACTTGTAGTTGGAAGGCCTTGCAAATGAACTCCCTAGTGGCACCATCAGGTTCTCATCGAAGGTGGTTTCCGTTGACGAATCGGGCTACTTTAAGCTGGTGCATCTGGCAGACGGGACCATCCTCAAAGTCAAGTCATTATCAGAAGGCCAAGATGCACTCGCTCCTGCAACTTATCCCACATCGCTCGGTTGATATAAAAAACTACACTTTATAAGCCTAACACGAGGAAGTTGTAACGCCGAGCTTCGCAACGTGAGCTTGTAACCCAAGTGGGGGCTTTGAGGTGCTGGAACATTGGCCTAGTATTAGCTGGTCGGGTTCGGGTTGGCTATCTTCTGGCCCGCCCATTCCAAGCCAGGAGTTGAACCTTGTGGCTTGAGCGAAGGCTCTGGGTCACTGGGTTTCTAGAGAGGAGGGCACTGCGTAAGGCTGGCTTCACAGAGCAACGTCTACCTCCCTCTCTTGGCAGTGGAAGGATAACAGGTTGGTGCCACTTGGATCCGCCATGGCCTGCTAGACTGTCCCAATTGAACCAAAACCTTTTTGCTCACTTTTTGTGAGTCTGATTATCTTATGTGGTTGGTTTCTTACAAGAGAGTAATGGAAAAATTATGAACTTCTTCGGGGACAAATGTTTATCTCTAATCCTGGCTGGTTTGTTGTTGAAGAAGGCAGATTTTGATTGTGGGAAGCTCAGCATCTCTTAAATGCAATGATACTTCCTCTGCATATATAATAGTAATTTGCATGTAACCTTATATGTCAATCATATTAGTGATAACAGTAGAAGAATACTGAGAAAAAGAAGAAGGAAGAAGAAGTCTGAGAATAGAAGGCTCTGTATTGATTATTGTTGAAAATGATTACAATGTAATAGTGCTTATAAAGCAAACTAACAGACTCTCTTAACAAGCTAACAAACTCTCTTAACAATCTAACATACTTTCTTAACAACCTGACACGTGTCATTCAATATGGTTATATGGTTATCATTCCCCCTCAAACCCAGCTGAGCTGCTAAGTTGCAGATTCCTGCAATGTCTCAGAAAAATAGGACCATGTAATTCCTTTGTGAAGATGTCTGCTACTTGTTCTTCAGTGGGAATATACTGCATAATCAAGTCTTTCTTCTGTACTCTTTCTCTTACAAAATGAAAGTCAATATCTAAATGTTTGATCCGAGAATGATACACAGGAGTTGAACTTAAAGCAAGGGCTGAAAGATTGTCACAATGTATTGTAGGAGGCTGTGGTAAGAACACCTTTAAATCAAGTAAAACCTGTCGAACCCAAGCTAGATCAGCTGTTGTATTAGCTAATGCCCTGTACTCAGCCTCAGTTGAACTTCTAGAAACAGAATTTTGCTTCTTAGACTGCCAAGAAACTGGATTGTTGCCAAGATAAACCACAAAAACAGTAGTTGATCTACGAGTATTCACATCTGAAGCCCAATCTGCATCACTATAAGCATGAAGATCCCAAGATCCACTTGTAAAAGTCAGACCATGATCCAAAGTACCATGAATATATCTCAGGATGCGCTTAACCAACTGAAAATGTAAATATGAAGGTTGAGTCATATACTGACAGACAGTATTAACAGCATAACAAAGATCAGGTCTAGTGAATGTTAAATACTGCAGTGCCCCAGCAATACTCCTGTAGATGGTTGGATCAGATAAGGAGTCACCCTCCGAAGCCAAAAGCTGACAATGTGGCTTACATGGAGTAGTACAAGGTCGACATGTATCCATACCAGCCTTTGCAAGTAATTCTCTAGCATATTTTGTTTGACATACAAAGATATCTCCATTATCATGATAAGAAATCTGCAATCCTAAGAAGTAGGTTAACCGCCCCATATCTTTCATTTCAAACACAGCACTTAACTCATCAATAACCTCTTGGACTAAACTATCTTTAGAACCAGTCAAGATGATATCATCAACATAGAGTAAAAGAATGACACTATCTAAACCAACACGCTTAACACAGAGGCTTGGATCAGAATGAGAAACAGTAAAACCAAGGGCTGGAAGATGACCTGTGAACTTTGCATTCCAAGCTCTAGGTGCTTGCTTTAGTCCATAAAGAGATTTTCTCAATCGACAAACATGGGTTGGATATGCAGAGTCTTCAAAACCTTGAGGTTGGCGCATACACTTCTTCTTCATTGATGTTTCTGTCTTCAAGATCACCATGAAGACAGAAACATCAATGAAGCTTTTGAGAGCACTTAATTAACTTGTTATATGTAAATATGTAAAACAGCAGCCATGACAAAACAGCGCATTCAGAACATCAACATAGGATGCAAAAGCGATCCCACTAGAAGATTTAAGTTAACCAAAAAAAAAACCACACATATTCTCAAGCAACATTTTTCTGATCAATTTCTAATACCAAACAATATATTAACTCTAATTCAAATCACAACATGAGTTGTTGAAATCATGATAGAATACACATATGTAACATCTTAAAAGGAGAAGTTACCCACTTCCAAGGAGCATCTCGAGCAGGAAGATTCGAAGGCTTTAGACTGAGACTAGGCAAAATATTCACGAGATCTCTTTCTTCACTATCTGCATGATTATGTTCAACAAGACAAGTGTTACCACACAAAGGAAGGAAGGCAGGTTCAATAAATGACAAGGCAACAAAATTACCAACCAGTCACAACTGCGCTACAATTTCAATGTTGGGAAGATATATACTCTTAACTTAGGAAAGAATTGGACACCCAAAAAATAACACCTAAATATATTACCAATTTTATTAAACTTAAAAGAAGACTTAAAGTATAACCAATTCTGCAGTTCCAAAATAAATAAAATAATAATTTGTAAGTCATATCCCTTGCCTGGACTGGAAATAGGTAATGAGTGCCTCATTGTTGGAACTGTGCGTGGCTCCTTTACTGTTTTGGACTCCATCTTCTTATAAGAAGTTTCACCAATTAACTAAGACATCCGTTAATTGCTTCTCCCCAATATGCTCATTTCCAGAAGCTACGGAAGTCTTTGTTTCTCCTATAACTGAGATAAGAAATCATAAGCATTGCACATATAGCATCCATTTACCATAGGAATAAAATGCTATCTTCACACTTTTAATAACACATCCAAAATACTATGAACAAAAAATGCTGAGTAGATACAACAAGTCTGTCTCAACACTTTTACTAACCAAATTCTATTGCATGAACTCTATAATAAGAGCAATTGATAATTTTTCTTCTTATAAGAAACACAAATTTAAGTTACAAACTTTCATTAAAACAAAGAAAGAGAATCATGATGCAGAAGACACTGTTGATAACAATAGTGAAGATTATTTGTACCATTCCTTATACTTCTGATTATTTGACTTCAGTAGCGGGCAAAGTTGCATCTACTAGATGGCCACTGGAACCATATTTCTTTGAATTCTGCTAACCAAGAGGAGCCTTTGGTTCTGACGAAGATATAAGAGCAACCAATTGCACTACTAAGAGTATATCAAAAAGCAAAAACTTTCACTATCTAGCATGTACTCAATCATCCATATATACAAGGGGAGAATGGAGATGATGTGGCTCATAGAATCAAAGCACGATAGGTAAAATGGAGGGTTTTGTTAAGCATATATATAGTGTGATCATCATATTTTGCTAGAATTGAAAGCTAAGTTTATAGAACATCTGTTAGACCAGCCATGCTATATGGGACTGAATACTAGACGGTTAGAAAACAGACATATTCATAGTTTCTGTAGGTACATATTAGCCAACTGTTACAAACAGCACAGTGATATGGACACCTCTATGTCTGTTTCTCTAACAGCATATTATAGCCATTATTAGACACAAATTGTTAAGAGATCAGATTAAAATATTTGTCACCTTTTGAATCCTTCAAAATTGGAGATGTTTGTTGCTGAATAATCTTTGCTATCCTTCAAAAACCTGGTTATTGGCAAGACCATAGAAACTCCATGATAGGATAGCTTCATCATTTCCTTCCACTGAAGACAGACACCAAGTCAGCAAATTTTGTGTTGTTTTCTTCTGCGCCATGCCGTCAATGGAAAGAGAGAAGAGAATAAGGCGGAGTTGGCAGAGGGAGGAATTGTCGTAGTTGTCGTTGGTGTGGTGAGGTGAACATGTGGTTTGGGAGAGAGCCTAGAGAGAAGAGAATAAGGCGGGAAACAGGGAGATGAATGGAAATAGATGAATTAAGAGTCTCATGATCTCTTCTTCTATGGACCTGACTTGTGCTTGCTTCGGCTTCCCAATCTCAATCTCAAGCTCAAATTTGCAGCTAAACTTCTTCAATTTCGGGTTTCAGACTTTCAGTCAATCGCAGTGTTCGGAAAATCGGCCTAGGTTGGCGCCTAGGTGGCTAGGCGGGCGCTAGGCGGCTAGGCGGGAGCTAGGCGGCTGGGCGGGAGCTAGGCGGCTGGGCGGGCCTCCTAGGCGGGTTGGGTCTTTTTTTGGTGTCGAACCAGGAGGACGAAGCAGTCGAAACTGAAAATCGAAGCGAAATGACTGTGACTGGGTCTGCAACCTCCGCCCTCTGCGAGTGCAAGCTTCGTGTTCGTTTGGATTATATTCAAAGAGTATAGCCGCGCGGCTATAATTTTAAAATATTTGAATATTTTAAAGAGTATAGCCAAACGGCTATACTTTTAAAATATCCGAATATTTTAGAAAGTACAGCCGTGCGGCTATAACATTTTAAATATACAATTTTGTCATATCATTTTAGGGTTTAGGGTGGGCTAGAGTTATTTCTTCAATTATTTTATTTATACAAGCGATATTGGGGAATGAGAATTTAAATTCTTTATGATACCTCCCATTATAATGATTTCCAGCTATTAGCCCTTTGGGCAAGAATAAAAAATGAATTTTATTTCTAACAAATAATACAAGTTAAACTCATAAATACCAAGAATAATAATAATAATAATAATAATAAAAGGTATCCGCCAACATTTTGTGGATCAAAGAATTTTGAATTTCATAGTATAAAATTGCTTGTATATCAATTTACTTTCTAAAATGTATCCGTTGTAATTATGAACTAAACCCAATTGCAACATTTTTTTCTCATTGCACTTGACGACCATGCTCTTCTGCTATCAGATATGTCAGTTGAAAAATTGGATATAAAACAATCTAACGAGACAGCGAAGGGAAGTTTGCAGCTCTATTTTGAAATTAATTGAAGGTATCAGAGGTCATATGACATTGATATATGAACTATTCTAAATGAGAATTCAAACAACATGTGTTAGATGAGAAGTAGCATCTCATTCTTAAATATAACATATTATTTCATTTTTTACTGGTTGTGCCTGTTGTTAAGCTGGTGCAACCAACATTCTTTCACCACGAAATTTTTCCTAAACCTCAAAGAAATTTAGCTAGGAAAACCTTTGGTGGGAAGGGAAAGTTAAGATAGAAATAGAGGCAGAGGCAAGGCTGAAGAACAATCGCGCGCGAACACATGTGATATTACAAAAAATGTTGCGAAGGAATTTAGAATGGCCATTTTCCAAATTAAGCATACATCTTATTATGAAATCAAGATAGGAACTTATAACAAGCCCTCATTAGAGTAACATTGTCCAAAAACACACGATGAACACCACACTCAACACACATAATTGCTCATTAGTGTTGTAAATATAAAAAAGATGAGATATCGCTTAGTACAATCAAATTAATAATTCTTCATTCCTCGTCGCCCAAATCATTGAACGCATTGCGCAAATCATTGAGCATTTCATCCCATGTCTCCTCCACATGCAGATGAAATGAGTATCCATCAACATGAAGAACAAAATTGTCCATACCACAAAGACATTCAGGAAATTCATAACCCTCGCACATAAATTGACTAATATGAGACGCAATCTTTGATATTTCATCGTCGTTCTCATCGAAACCAGAACAATCTCTGGCATCCAACATCACCAAATCTTTGCATCCACGCATCAACGTGACAAGACCATCCCGATTGACTTTTGCACCCTTCAAATTTAAGTACTTGATATTAGGCATCTGATTCTTACATATATGAGATATATTAGTCCGCGTTGTATTCTATGCAGAAATATAAAGTTACCCATAAGTTGAAGCGCTCAGGATCTTGTAGTGAAGGCATCATCGCTTCCACACCGAGAAGTCTCTCAAGTCCTCTTCGATCTGTAAAGAGATACTATCATACATCAAAAGCTCAGCTCGGTCATCGAGAGGCATTTTACCTCACAAATAGAAATCCCCCAAGTCCCCAGACGAGAGTTTTGTGTGGGGAGTTGCATCTCTTGGACAACTCCTTCCTAGGACCTTGGTTCCCTTTATCCCCACTTACATTTTGTGAATTTGGTATGCTAGCTGCATGCCAAAACTTGTATATGTTGCTTGTGTTTGTTATACCAAATACCAATTGGATCATGTTTGTGAAGAAAAAAAAAGGGCATATCAATGTGCACCTAAACTGAGGCAAAAATCCAATATAATTGTATACAATTCCATGTGCTTGCCAATCTGAAACTTGACCCATGCATATGCAATGTCTTTGGGTTTCAAAAATAGAAATCCATGAGATTTTGAAGGTGAATATGAATCTGCCAATACTTCATCAACCAACTCCAAACCCCTTCCTTCATTCCATAAGTGCCATGCCTAACAAAATTTCATGTATGTTGGCCAGTATTGTTAAACTCTGCTGCACTTAGCTTCATATAGTTGCTTAAGCTGTATGAAAGATACGATTTTGCATTAAGATTTAGAGTGTGAGCTTACATAAGCTAGGAAGCCTATATGTTGGTCACTGGAATAGAAGTTGGTATTCTTTTTGCCACTAATAATCTCCAATTGCAAGAACCCGAAGCTGTAGCCATCAGATAGTCCATTGATGCTTTTTTAAGGTTTATGGTTGTGGTGCACTGAGTGATTCAACTGAATAATGCCTGGGGCATGGTCAGATAGTCCATTTCCTCTGTCGATTGTAATGACGGTATGCACAACTCTTGGGGCAGTAGCCCTGCCTCCTGTACTAACAAAGATATTGGCAGGGACTTACATCCCTGTGGATGCTGCCAAACTGTCAATCAGCACCATGCAGGTTAAGTTAAATATAATAAACTTCAGTAATATTATATTATCCATCAGCTGGGGCTTATGGTCTCTATTCTGTCATATGTAGGTCGTTGTTGCTCCAATTTGTTAGGTTCTTATATGCATAGTGCATTTCCTGCAGTGGTTAAAATTGTGATACCTTTTGCTGTTCTAGCTGCATCACTGCTTGCATGCTGGTACATTTGTTGTGCATATAAATATATTTTAATTACTTATATGTAAAATATGATTGTCTTGCCTGTGGTTCCTTCCAAATGTGCTCTCTTTCTCAAACATACTAGATTTCATTTTGTGGGCCAGTGTATTCTCTGAGAATGTTGTCCGTCTCAAAGCTTCAATGGTTGCTGTAACATTGCAGGCTGATCTGTCTCTAATGGCTCATGCTCAGACAGTGTTATCTGGAGAAATTGGGGTGGTTATTCTTTCTGTGCTGTTAGTACACATTGCTGGTTTCTTTGCGGGGTAAGTTGCCTTTAACTGTTGGTGACTTTAATTGTTAAGTGTGTTGTTGTGGAAAAAGCTCAAGGTAATGTACACAATTTTTTCAGTATGTAAAGATTCACTCTAATTTAAGCTCAAAAATTCTAAAAAAAATTACATTGTAGCCTTGTATTAGTGTATTATTACTGTTTGATTTAGCTTCAGTTGAGTTTGATATATAAATTATAGAGTGAAGTTAACTGTACTTTGAAAAAACAAAGTATTCATAATTTGTAAGCAACAGTTGAGAAACTATAGTTTGCTGTCATTATGACTTCATAGCCATAAAAGCTATTGCAGTAAGAAAGTATATATTCAATCTTCTTTGTCTATGTGGATTTTAATTTGACATATGAAGATAGAAACTAGTCTTGTAGACGAGCATTGTTGGCAGAGTTTGCACTCATACAAATATTCTTTAAGGTTGTGGTGCTGTGCCTGTTTGTTTAGTTTGTTTTGGAGTTTTTGCGGTGCAAATGTGCAACTTGAGGAGTCTTTTTTATTAGGGAGAGTCTTAATTTGCAGGTATATATAAGAAGCCTCCCCTAAAGAAAGAAACATCAATAAAGCTTTTGAGAGCACATAATTAACTTGTTATATGTAAATATGTAAAACAGCAGCCATGACAAAACAGCGCATTCAGAACATCAACATAGGATGCAAAAGCGATCCCACTAGAAGATTTAAGTTAACCAAAAAAAAACCACACATATTCTCAAGCAACATTTTTCTGATCAATTCTAATACCAAACAATATATTAACTCTAATTCAAATCACAACATGAGTTGTTGAAATCATGATAGAATACACATATGTAACATCTTAAAAGGAGAAGTTACCCACTTCCAAGGAGCATCTCGAGCAGGAAGATTCGAAGGCTTTAGACTGAGACTAGGCAAAATATTCACGAGATCTCTTTCTTCACTATCTGCATGATTATGTTCAACAAGACAAGTGTTACCACACAAAGGAAGGAAGGCAGGTTCAATAAATGACAAGGCAACAAAATTACCAACCAGTCACAACTGCGCTACAATTTCAATGTTGGGAAGATATATACTCTTAACTTAGGAAAGAATTGGACACCCAAAAAATAACACCTAAATATATTACCAATTTTATTAAACTTAAAAGAAGACTTAAAGTATAACCAATTCTGCAGTTCCAAAATAAATAAAATAATAATTTGTAAGTCATATCCCTTGCCTGGACTGGAAATAGGTAATGAGTGCCTCATTGTTGGAACTGTGCGTGGCTCCTTTACTGTTTTGGACTCCATCTTCTTATAAGAAGTTTCACCAATTAACTAAGACATCCGTTAATTGCTTCTCCCCAATATGCTCATTTCCAGAAGCTACGGAAGTCTTTGTTTCTCCTATAACTGAGATAAGAAATCATAAGCATTGCACATATAGCATCCATTTACCATAGGAATAAAATGCTATCTTCACACTTTTAATAACACATCCAAAATACTATGAACAAAAAATGCTGAGTAGATACAACAAGTCTGTCTCAACACTTTTACTAACCAAATTCTATTGCATGAACTCTATAATAAGAGCAATTGATAATTTTTCTTCTTATAAGAAACACAAATTTAAGTTACAAACTTTCATTAAAACAAAGAAAGAGAATCATGATGCAGAAGACACTGTTGATAACAATAGTGAAGATTATTTGTACCATTCCTTATACTCAGTTCTGATTATTTGACTTCAGTAGCGGGCAAAGTTGCATCTACTAGATGGCCACTGGAACCATATTTCTTTGAATTCTGCTAACCAAGAGGAGCCTTTGGTTCTGACGAAGATATAAGAGCAACCAATTGCACTACTAAGAGTATATCAAAAAGCAAAAACTTTCACTATCTAGCATGTACTCAATCATCCATATATACAAGGGGAGAATGGAGATGATGTGGCTCATAGAATCAAAGCACGATAGGTAAAATGGAGGGTTTTGTTAAGCATATATATAGTGTGATCATCATATTTTGCTAGAATTGAAAGCTAAGTTTATAGAACATCTGTTAGACCAGCCATGCTATATGGGACTGAATACTAGACGGTTAGAAAACAGACATATTCATAGTTTCTGTAGGTACATATTAGCCAACTGTTACAACCAGCACAGTGATATGGACACCTCTATGTCTGTTTCTCTAACAGCATATTATAGCCATTATTAGACACAAATTGTTAAGAGATCAGATTAAAATATTTGTCACCTTTTGAATCCTTCAAAATTGGAGATGTTTGTTGCTGAATAATCTTTGCTATCCTTCAAAAACCTGGTTATTGGCAAGACCATAGAAACTCCATGATAGGATAGCTTCATCATTTCCTTCCACTGAAGACAGACACCAAGTCAGCAAATTTTGTGTTGTTTTCTTCTGCGCCATGCCGTCAATGGAAAGAGAGAAGAGAATAAGGCGGAGTTGGCAGAGGGAGGAATTGTCGTAGTTGTCGTTGGTGTGGTGAGGTGAACATGTGGTTTGGGAGAGAGCCTAGAGAGAAGAGAATAAGGCGGGAAACAGGGAGATGAATGGAAATAGATGAATTAAGAGTCTCATGATCTCTTCTTCTATGGACCTGACTTGTGCTTGCTTCGGCTTCCCAATCTCAATCTCAAGCTCAAATTTGCAGCTAAACTTCTTCAATTTCGGGTTTCAGACTTTCAGTCAATCGCAGTGTTCGGAAAATCGGCCTAGGCGGGCGCCTAGGTGGCTAGGCGGGCGCTAGGCGGCTAGGCGGGAGCTAGGCGGCTGGGCGGGAGCTAGGCGGCTGGGCGGGCCTCCTAGGCGGGTTGGGTCTTTTTTTGGTGTCGAACCAGGAGGACGAAGCAGTCGAAACTGAAAATCGAAGCGAAATGGCTGTGACTGGGTCTGCAACCTCCGCCCTCTGCGAGTGCAAGCTTCGTGTTCGTTTGGATTATATTCAAAGAGTATAGCCGCGCGGCTATAATCTTAAAATATTCGAATATATTAATATTTAAACAGTATAGCCGAACGGCTATACTGTTAAAATATCCGAATGTATTTATTTGCATTCAATTATGCATCTAAATTTGGTATGACGTGCATTGATATTGTCGATAATGCATCAGTAACGTGTTTACATTGATAATTGATATCGTGTCAAAACGAATTCTACTCCAAGCTACAGTGAAAGGGGATCCCTTACGAGAAATTCATCCTATTTATCTGTCCTTGAAACTTTAGTAATTTGTCTCCCCACTATTCAACTTTAGTATTGAAAGCTTACTAATTGTCTTCCCAGCTACTCAACTTTACTATATACTGTAGGGTTTCTACTTTCTAATCAAGTATTGCTAATGCTGCTAATTGTGAAATTTTTTAAGGTGAGAGACAGTAACAGACAAAGCTTCATCAAATTAATACAATTATCTTCTAATTAGAGTCAGACTCTCCATATATAGTGCAGACTAAAAGAAACACACCCCTCATTGGTTCATCAGGTGTACTCAAGTTGAGCAGTCGACCATAAGAACACTACAGGTCTTCCAACACATCAAGTTCTGCACAGAATCCAGTGGCACAGCTTTTGGATTCCGGAAATCTTGTTGTGATAGATGGCAATGGTCATAACATAATGACCCTGATAATGGTTTATGGCAGAGTTTTGATTACCCAGGTGATACATTAATACCAAGTATGAAGCTTGTTAGGAACAAAATCACAGGTTTTAATTGGCATCTTACACCCTGTAAAAGCCCCCAGGATCCTTCTCAAGTCAAGGACATTATGCATATCAACTTGGTCCTTATGGATACCATGAATTAATTCTGAGGGAGGGTTCTGTTATAAAATATCGGACTGCACCATGGAATGGAATCCAATTTAGTGGGATGCATAATTTAAATCCAACATATGATTTTGTGTTTGGATAATAATGATGAAGTATATTATGGTTATAAACTTCTCAACAGCTCAACTCTTTTCAGGCTGGCGTTAACTCAAGATGGATTTGGGCTGTGCTACATCGGGAGTGATGGTAACCAAGATTGGGTCGTTTATCTAATATAGTAACGACTGATATCTGTGACAAATATGGAATATGTGGTCCGAATGGTGCGTGTAGTATTGAAAAGTCCCCAGTATGTAGCTGCTTGAAAGGATTTATACCGAACTTTCAACAAGACTGGGACTTGGTGGATTGGTCATGTAGCTGTGTGAGAAAGAGCCAACTGAATTGCAGTGGAGACATCTTTAAGAAGTACTCTGGGGTGAAATTGCCAAGTACAGAACAATCCTGGTATAACACAAGTATGAACCTCAAGGAATGTGATCGATGATGTGCATGAACAACTGCTCCTGCACCGCTTTTTCAAATTTGGATATCAGAGATGGAGGAAGGGGGTGCTTGCTGTGGATCAGCGATCTGGTTGATATAAGATATTCCAATATAAATGGGCAAGATATTTACATAAGAATGGCTTCATCAGAACTAGGTATGGAATCATCTTGCTGTTTAAAACAAAGTTTGAAAGAAAAATAAAAGCCACCAAGGAAAAAAGAAGAAAGAAATCTTCCAGCAGTGACATGATTAGAAACAAGATAGAGCCAGAAAACTTTTGACATTATTAGAAAAAAAATATTTCTTTAGAATTGTCTCAGAAACTAGCATTTATTGTTCATTGGATGATAAAAAGTAAAGGTTTTTATTTTTTATTTTCTTGAATTTCTGACTTCTCAGTCTTCTGCTTTCAAATACTTCATTCCTAGATCAAGGACACAATACAAAGATCAAAATTACCAGTACTGTGTTGTCTACTGGACCGCTGATCCTGGGCTCATGTTCAATACACGTATTTTTTACAAAAAATTCAGTAAGACACACAAAATTCACGTACTACACATGTATTACAGAATAAAAATAATATATACCTTAAAAAAAGGGCATAGCCGAACGGCTGTGCTCAGTATTCCTTAATTGTTTTTCAAAAAAATCGTTTTTGCACTA